AGAGGCCACAGGAAGGGGCGACACCGGGGCATGCCGGGCTGGGCCTCGGGACAGGAAGTGGGGCCAAGCCAAGGCCAGGCCCTGGAGGAAACGGAGGCTGCTTTCCCTCAACCCCCAAACTGACCTTCGGATCATTTAACTCTTCTCACTCTTCTTCTGAAGGCCTGAGGACAGAGGCAGCTTCGGCTTCACCGCAGTAGCTGACCCGCTCTCCCGGCAGCCCGTGGGGTGGAGACACTATTCTGGTCACTTTATAGAAGAGGAAACTGAGGGTCAGAGTGACTCTCAGTCATTCTGAGAACCAGAGATGGGTCTGCTGATAACTGACAGGCCTGAGGTCAGCGCGGCCCGGGGCCCCAGGCCAGGGCTCTGCCCTCACTGCGCCCCCAACACAACTCTGCCAGGGGGTCCAGGGGGCGGCTGACCCCCACCAGGGCTGCCCTTCTCCCCTGGTACCTCATGAACACCTCTGGCCTGCAGCTGGCTCATCTGTGTCCCTCCCAGGCCCAGGGCCTCTCACCCAGGCTGCGGTGGGGCCCTTCCTAGGGGACTGTGGGGACGTCACAGCTCTCCCCTCTGAGAACCGCAGCCATGGGGTGGGGAAGGGCGCGTCCCTGACCCCTGACCCCCACAGCACCTGCACCTCCCCAGCCTGGGGCTGCCACCGAGGGGCAGTGGGCCCAGTGGCAGAGTCCACAGCAAGACCACTGGGCGTGGTGGCCACTCCTGGACTCAGCCTGGTCCTGGTGACGGGAGCCTTGTCCTGAGGCCTGGTCCAGTGGGTCAGGATGCCCACCGCGTGGAGCCTCAGTCCCCGATATGAAGTGGGGACACGACCCTCGTCAGGCCCTGGGGGAAAGCCTTCGGGGTCAGTGACGGGCACACGTGGCTCTCTGCCAGCGGGGCCACGGTCCCCAAAGCCACCCCCTCCTAAGCCCGGGAGCAGCCCTGGGAGACTGGGGGGCAGAGAGCGGAGCCCCTCCGGCAGGGCAGCCTGAGGAGGGGGCAGCCGCAGGAAAGGCCGGGCGGGCAGCTGAGGACAGCCGCCAGGCTCCGCAGGCAGAGGGCCAGGGCCTGGGCAGGACCTCCCGGCCTCCAGAGCCCGGCGTCCTCCTGCACTGAGGCCAAGCATTGTCCCTGCGGGCAGGAGGTCCTGGCCCTGGCCATCACTCGGTCACCGTGAGGGGCCGTGGGGACAGACTCCGTCCCTCACTCTCGGGTGTGCCTTCCCATGGTGGCCTCCAGCGGCCCCCCCAGCCTGGCTCTGGGCGGGGAGGGGGTGGACATGCCCACCGTGTGCCAGGCCCCTGTGTGGGGTCCTGTCCTGGGGAGAGAGTGGTACAGTCCTGTGCGGTCCTGGCCCCCAGAGTTGAGGTCACCAACAAGAGGTCAGCTCAGGCAGTGGCCGGGCTGACGGGCACCCCCAGGAGGGGCTCCTGACCCAGGCTCCGGACCTGGGAAGCCCCGGGGAGGTAGGAGGCCGAGGCTGGCCAGGCCAGAGCTGGCTGGGCTGAGCCATGAAGGGGATCAGCGTGTGCAAAGGCCCAGAGGTCAGGGGCCCGGGGACTGGTGAGGGTGGCCGCGCAGGGGCAAGTGGGCAATGCTGGGCTGAGAGGGAGGCGGGAGGGGGCTGCTGAGGCCACCGAGCCCTTCCAGGGGAGCGCGTGCAGGCAGCACTGTCAAACCGTGGGCCACCTGCTCGCGGGGTGGGGTCACGATCCCCCCTGCGATGACCGGGAGGTCCCCTGCTGAGACCGACTCTGTGGCCCTGCCCTTGGGCGCCAGACCTCGGCAAAGGGACCGCAGGCGTGGCCAAGGGTGTCCCAGAGAAGGTGGCCCTGAGGTTGGGCCTGGGGGCCAGAGGGGACTCAGAGTCCCCAGGGGAGGGCAGCACCACTGACCTGCAGGGGGGGGCAGGGGGGGACGTTCTGGGATAAGCCGCCAGTGCTCTCAGCCCGGTGCTTGGGGACCTTCGTAGGGACAAATGGAGGCAATGGAGCCAGAGCATGAAGGAGGCGGTGCCTGAGCTCTGGAGAGGTGAGTGCAGATCCAGTTACTCTTCAGGGTAACTGGGCTCAGTGGTCTAGGTTGCACACTGCACAGTGAGGTCACATCCCAGGGGGCACCATC